TTTAATATTTCCCCTCGAATATGCTATATTTCACAACTCAAGCTTGGGCAGAGTCTGGATAGTGACAAGAATGCTAATTTAAATCAGACTCAAATAACTGAGTCTGATCAAGGGAGGTACTAATACCACTCTATAAAGCCTTAAGTAAGACCACACCTTAGAGTACTGCATCCAGTTATGGTCACCACACTATAAAAAAGATGTTGAGGTTCTAGAAAGAGTGCAGAGAAGAGGGATGATTAGGGGACTGGAGACTAAAACATATGAAGAACAGTTGCAGGAACTGGGCCTGGCTAGTCTAGTAAAGAGAAGGACCAGGGGAGACATGATAGCAGCCTTCCAATATTTGAGGGGCTGCCACAGGTAGGAAGGGGTCAAGCTATTCACCAAAGCACCCGAAGGCCAGACAAGGAATAATGGATGGAAACTGAACAAGGAGAGATTCAACCTAGAAATAAGAAGAAACTTTCTGACAGTGAGATCAATCAACCAATGGAACGGAAGTTGCCCTCAGAAGTTGTGGGAGCTTCATCACTTGAGACTTTCAAGAAGAGATTGGACTGCCATTTGTCAGAAATGGTGTAGGGTCTCCTGCTAGGGGGTTGGACTAGATGACCTACAAAGTCCCTTCCAATTCTGGTAATTTGTAATTTTTCAATTTATCAAACAATTGGAAAGCAGCAAATAAACAACTTTTCAATTGATTTCTATATGCATAAAGAAATGCACACGCACACCATCAACCGTGATGTTACATGGGGACTATTATCAAAATAAAAGTTACGGACATTTTTTTCTAAAGGCAAAACTTTAGATTCAAAGATAAGATCTGATTCAAAGATAAGTTTATTATCTGTTGAAGACTGGTTATTTTGCTGGTTATCTCAGGAGCAGTGGCCATACATACGTACTTAATTTTTTTCTTGATATATTTTAGGAATGCCTAATTTTTAATGCCTTTTTAAAAACAAATTAGTCAGGTTCCATGTAAGGCAAACTTTATAGATTTTTCCCGTCCCAGATCAAATTTGAAATTTTTTTAAAAAAACTTTTGCCAAATAACTTCTTCCTTCATTTTAGCACTGTAGAGTATTATAAAATTGAGCCCAGAACTGGGAAAACTGTTTTTCCGAAAATCAGGTCTCTGATCTTCCTAATTCATCATTTGAGGCCTGAAATATTTCCCCCTTCAAGGCATGTCATTTAACACACTTTAATAGAGGTCCTATTCCTATTTAATTAATTTGTATGCTGCCCATTTCATTGACAAGTGACTGCAATAAAGCAGATTTACTTGGTAATTATTCTCCATTGTTAAATTAAAAACTACAGCACAAGCGTTCTCCATGCTGCCTCCAAGACTTAATGATCTATTCGATATATGATTAAAAGAGAATATAATGAAAATATATACCTCCCTGGTAGTGTTCCATATTCTAGGCTAGGTTAGCGTAGAGCAGGGAGCTTGCTTGAGCTACACTGAGTGAAGAGGAATAGTCTTGGCCCACTTATCAAATATATAATACAATGTATATAAATAACAAACGCCAATATATATTTTTATGGTCTTGTGGGGCCACATTCCTAGCTGTCCAGGACTGCAATTAGTCCTTGGGTGGCAGATAGGACACACCTGGTCTATAAATTACTTGGCCTCAGAAGTCCTATTTTTCCATTGCAGAGGTGCATTTACAAAAAGACTCCACCAAACTTAGTAATGTGACCACAGGGCAATTATACAAAGCTATCATTATGAGCGTCAGCCTAGCTGTTCGCCCAGAGCTTATATAGGCTGAAAACCTTTAGCCTGAAGCTTCAGAACTAGGTGTTTACAAAAACAAATCACAATCTAATTACAGGTCTGATTTACCAACTTTCCCCTGCTCCAGCTAAGGGCGTATCTCGTTATTGTGCTTCTTTAACCTTCAGTAAACAAGAGATGTTTTCTAGAATGTTACTATTCAGTTACTATTCAGCTCTGCAGCCTTTTGACGCAGCAGTTACTCAAAGGCATATTTGGAAATTTAAGACTGAAAAGCAAGTGATTTATATGAGGAATTTCAAGCTATCAATATTTCAAGTCCCAGGCAGAGACATGATTCTTTCAGGAGGAACAAGTTCAGATCTCCCTCATTTAACTGCCGCATTGATAAAATTATATCAAAGCAACTGCCTCATTTAGTGACTGTTCAGTTTTGACAGTGATAAAGTAAAAACCGATCCTCATATTTATGAACATCAGATTGTATGGTCCCCTGAACATACCTGTCAAACCAAAGGTTGTAAGTAGTTGCAGTTTCACTTAGTGGTTTCGCTTAATAGCAATAGCACTTAGACTTATATACCGCTTCCCAGTGCTTTACAGCATTCTCTAAGCCAGTGGTCCCCAACCTTTTTTGTGCCACGGCCTGGTACCGGCATCACAAAATGATCCGCGGTCCGGTACCGGCATCAGCACACATGACAAGGCAAGGCGAGCCAAGCGACCGGCCAGCCAGCCATCCCCCGCCACCTTCAACTTCTCTTTTGTACCTTTGTCAATGGGCTTCGCTTCGGGACGGCTTCGGGACAGTCACTCGGCTCGCCTTGCCTTGGGTGCTGAAAGAATCCTCGCGCCTTAGTTTCATTCGAAGCCCCCCCCCCTTTCAATGAAACTAAGGCACGAGGATTCCTTCAGCACCCAAACGCCGCTTTCCAACTGGAAAAGCTCACCCAGAAGCACTTTCTCGTCAAACAAGATGGCTGCGCCCAGCAAACCGGCGGCCCGGCAGGAAAAGTTCCACGGACCGGTACCGGTCCGCGGCCCGGTGGTTGGGGACCCCTGCTCTAAGCGGTTTAGAAAGTCAGCATCTTACCCCCAGCAATCTGGGTCCTCATTTTACAGACCTTGGAAGGATGGAAGGCTGAGTCAATCTTGAGCCTGGTGAGATGATCAGCTGTCGATCTAAATTGTAGTTGTTAAATAACTATCTATGTAACACCATAAAACATGAGATGTGTTTCTTGTCAACTCTTTAATAGTTTTGGCCATAAATTTAGCAGACCGTAACAGTAACCAGTAGGATTCATGACTGAATAGGGGGGATCTCTACCCAATTTTCAAGCTCAATACATCGTTGAACAGAAAATAAAATAATATATCAAGGGTTCCTGGAGAATTTACTATCATTCTAAAGTACTTTGGAACTGCCTAAGGAGACTCAGACATTTTAACACTTCAGATCTCTTATTGCTTCCATTCTCTGTTTTGAAGTGTTTTTAGTCTTACTTCAATCTTTTAATAAAGCTAGGATTTAAATCCGCTCAACAGTAACCAACCTTGATCAGCATCTAATGATCCTCATGTAACTAGAACACGGACCTGAAATGTAAGGTACAGGTTGTTCTCGACTTACAATTAGAATTTATATTGCTAAACTTTAAGGCAGTTGTTAGAGTGAGTCAGGCCAAATGTTATGACCATTTCTGCCATGGTTAAGCAAATCACTGCAGTTGTTAAATGAATCCCACTTCCTTCATTGACCTTGCTTGTCAGAAGCTAGTTGGGAAAGATTGTATGTTTGAATAGTATGGCCTGGGAACAGCAAGCTCCTTAATTTTTATCATGTGACCATGAAGATGCTATAAGGATCATTAAGTTGGAGGACTAGTCACCTTTTTCAGTGCCATTTTAAATTTGGTCACTAAACAAATGGTAAGTCCAGGACTATCTGTATATGCAGTTAGAACCAGCTGCTTATTTCCCCCCAAATTCCTACACTTAAACACTTGTCAACTCACCAGTACTTTTAGTTGGTAGGTTTTAACCTTTTCTAGGACTGTTATTTTATATTTTCTGAGAATTTGAATAGCCTCAATATCTAATATAGGGTGTTATCAAAACAGCATACAACCCTGAAATGATTTCTGCAAGTGCAAAATCAGTTCCATCATACCTTTAAGCATGTCCGAGATCCACATCGTTTCCGCAGAGGCATAATGAATCCCAGACTATTTTACACCATGGCGTTTTCTGGAGTTGGAAGCCAAGTACAGCCAGCTTGCTAAAATATTTGATAATTTACAGTGGTACCTCAATTGCTTTGAATCTCATCAAATTTGGCACTGTGGCATGAATGTTTTTTGTCCTGGTACTCATTTGATGCTCAACGCACAAGCGAGAATCTGTTGGGGTCAGCTGCCTTGTGATTCACTGCATTATTCCTTTATGGGGAAAATCTGGTACCCATCACGCCTCTCGTAACCAATTAACGATGAGTACGCCAGGTACCACTATATTACATTTATACGCTGCCTAATTCCCAGTAACTCTATAGGCAGCCTGGGAGAACTAAAGCTGTAGAGAGCATTAGAAAAGCAGCAATAGAAAACCATTTCCATGCTACAGTTGGATAAGTTTTTATAAAAACATTGGAGTTTACTAATGAGGCACCACAATGGTAACCAGGACTTCCTGAGGGTGAGCCCTGACCAGTACTTTCAATAATCCCTTAGGAAACTCAATTAATTTTTAACCAAGTGGCAACTGTAAACCAATTTTAAAACTCTGCAAGAATGTTAATTATGTTAACAGAAATTCATTTCTGTAAACCTCAAGGATTATCCGTGTGAAACTGAAGCAGCTGTTTAGCGACAGTCCTACTTGATACAGAATTCTGTAGCTCTTACCTTATCATCCACATTCTGCGGTCACCAAGTGGCATGAACCCTTGGCTGCTATGCATCCTGCTAGAGCAGCCAAGTATTTCCTTCCTTTTGCCTGACCATGTAAGCTCCAGGATGTTTATTACCTTCATTCTCAACAATTTTTCATCAGGGCTTATTTGTGCCCAGGCTACTACCAGTGCTCCAATGCTTGTGAATGGGCCACAGAGCACAAGATGAAGCCCCGCCAATTACCAGGCCAAGAATCAGAGGAACTTAATAAGTGAATTCATCATAGCAGAAGAGCAACATATACGGGCATTATTTAATACAACAAAACCACCATGCACTTTTTTATAAAATTTTATTTGTCAAAAAGAAAAAGGCAATAGCCAATTGAAAGCCTACTCAATCTTAAAAGATTCCAATTTCTTTGCGTTGTTAAATTTAGGTAAATGACTTATTGGTTTAACATTTATAAACAACCCCCCCTTTTTTTCCCCTTTAACATTTACCATCTACTTGTGCTGAATCCTTCCAAGGAGAATGCTCCAGCGTACCTCTCCAGGTCCTTGCTTTGCTCCTTTTACACACACACAAAAAAATGAAAACTCCATCGTGCATCTTATGGATGGGCTCCAATCGTCAAAAATAGGAAAAAAAAAATCTTTGGAATAGCCAATTGAGTTGAATAAAACTCCATACGAGTGCGGTTTGGTTGGGGCAGGAATCCACTCCTATGTTCCTGGTAATCTGATCCCGCTCCATGAATCCTTGAAATTGATCCTCCCTATCCTATCCACATTATGATTTGAATCCAATGATCCAGCTCCAAGGATTGGGATCCAGTGAGCCCTCTCCAATCCAAACCTTTATAACCAGCAAAACCAAAAAAGAGGAGGCAAAAAGTTAGATACCGTAATGAAAAATAGGATTCTGGGGAATGATCAGTTATGTCTGCCGCTGAATAATAAAAACAGGCATTGATAACTATCAGTTCCCCAAGACAAACTTTTGTATTGTGAAGTTCAAATTTTAGCAGTGTTAATCATTTCGAAGAAACATTCTAATATTTACAATGGATAACTGATAATTTCAACATTTCAATTACTATATGTGCATTACAGGTTTTGTGGTTGAAAAAAATGTTATGAAGTTGCCAAATCCTGCTGCTAGAACTACCCAGGCCTAAGTAAAAGCTCATTATACTCAGCCTAGAAGTGACAAGATTAACTGAAGTTATCAGAGTCAGTTTCTGATTTATCTTGCAGGGGAAGATGGAAAGAAATCCCCAGTGTGCCCCCCCACTGCTTCCATTCCATTACGTTTTAAGATGAAACAGCAAAATGCTCTATCAGTCACACAGAGGACATGCAGATTTTAGCAGTATTGAGATTATACTTCCATGTCTGAAAAACCTGCATGTTACAAGGATAAAAACGGGCAACACCTGTAATCAATGGACACAGTATAGCCCCACCTCCCCACCCCGCTTGGATCCAGCTAAGCCACAATTGTCATGATGGTAGTCAGAAAACATCAGCTGACTAAAAAATGAGTGGAACAATAGAGAACAGGCGTGCTATTTCACTATTCTCTGTATAAGGTCAATACTGCCAATTTAATCTGTGACAATAGCACTTGGAGTCATACCATTGCCTCCATTTTTGATCTGATCCTCCTCAATCCTCCTTTTGACAATCCTAAAATGATTGACATGTGCTCCATAATCCTTTAATCCAAAGCATTCTTAATCCATCTCTTCAGATATGTCTACAGAAAGACACATGAAAAGGCAAGATAAAAATGTAAGCTCCCCCAAAAGAGACAATTTAAACCCCAACACCCCAAGCTTGTATAAACCATAGCTGAACAAAGACATTTTTAATACAGCAATATCACAGTTGGAAGAAAGTGGGCAGCAAACTAGCTAGAAAGAACCCTGACTAGGACATGTTAAAATACAATTTATGAAAGATGCAAGGGAATGTTGATGTTAAAGAACAAATATTCACTAGGGGTATCATACAAAACTGCAATTCAACACTTTAGCCAATTTTTTCAGTAAAAGTTTCAGTTCTGTTCTTTTTTTTTTCCCCCTAAAAGAATGGACTATTTATGGGCAAAAGAAAACTGCATACAACATGGAGAAATTCTACAAAAAGGAGCACTATTAAAGATCGTTTATGTACGAGAACGTGATCTGCTGTGACGGGGAGAGTAGCGTGGAGATCCTCTGCTTCGTCTTGGGGAATAACTGCGACTTCTGCTGTTGCTTCGGCTACGGCTTCTGCTACGACTACGGCTGCGGGAACGAGATCTTCCATAACTTGGACTTCTTGGGCCATCAACTTTAACACGGATGTAGGCAGTTTCTCCCTATCAAATAGACACAACTTTCGATTGAAAGGTCTAAGTTTTTAAGCAGTCTTTTGCAGGCATGCTGATAGACTGAAGATTTTTTAACAAGAAAAGTTGCATTACTTCTCCGTACATTATTTATACATGACACCCAACTAGCCCTTTCTACATTTTTAAACACTGTAAGCAGAAAAGTTGCACTTCCTTACCTTCAGTTTTACTGCATCCAAATGCAACCCTCTGTATCCAATTCTTGCTAAAATATTAAGTGGAAAAACCTACCTCGTGAGATCTAAACTTAGTGTTATCCAGTTTTCGCACCGCGTAGGTCATGTCTTCCTTCCGAACAAACTCCACGACACCAGTTCCATCTCGGAAAACATCAGCATAACATACATCACCTGCTTCACGCATGTGATCCTTTAAATCCTGCCAGCTTCCACTGGGAGGCAGTCCTGAACAAGAGACAGTAGTTAAGTTATTGCTAGTGAAATACAGGCAGTCCTCAACTTGGTCCCCAGCACACTGGAAATTATTCATTTCATATGTTAATCATGGTTTAAAACCCATATAGTCTTTTAAATTGTAATCTTTGACTTTTGTCAGTTTCGTCAAGAAGACTGAATAAATAGCCTGTAAAGAACATCCAAGTGCTGCAAAATGCTCCACCCCATGGACATGTGATCACGATCTGGTAGCTTGGCAACCTGTTTGCACTCAAACCTCTTTTATCATTTTCTTTGCAGCTGCCAAGAAAACTCCCTCTGGTCTCTTCCTGAAAAAGCTGTAAGCTGTTGGAGGATTTCATCAATCCAAGTAGATATGGAGCTGAAATCCTTTAGAGCAGGCAGCTTTCTCAGCCAGCCTCCAGAGATGATGATTTCTAGGATTTCCTAAGTAGAGGGACACCTACACACTGCCTTGTGCTGGACCTCCTAGGGTCTCCCGCGTTCTCCTGAAGCACCCCATGTTCCTCATCTGTAGCTCCATCCATGTATTGTTCTGCAAGATTGCTTACTGACAACCAAGATTGTGGAGTTTGCAATTGTTGAGCAAAGCAGTCACACGTCTCTTTTAACAAACGTTTCACTCAACTGAGATTCTGATCCCAGTTGTGCTCAAAATGAGAACTATCTGTATGCACGAATTGTTTAAAAAGTGACAAGCTGATAATGGAAACTATGTTTTATGGTTGGAAGGCTAATATTGGAAGGACATTTGCTTTGTATCAATTAGAGAAATAGCCTCTAAAATTCATCTTTGAACAAGCAATTATTATGTCACTTTTTTTCAACTGAAGAACCATTCAGAAATTTGTACATGTTTTAATTTATATCTTTAATTTCTCCATCCTACTGCTAGGTATTTTGACTCAAAAATAGCCTATGAAACAGAATTCTTAGATTAATTTTGACTTAAAGTTACATATTTTAGAAGTCTTTCCCCCCCTTTTTGCATTTAGTTAAAAAAACTAATGGGATTATGGTAATGCATGCTACTTAAGAAACTATAACTAGTCAGTATGCAAATGAGTGCTTGCTTACAGAATTATGTTATTTTAAACTATATGCTGCATTTCTCAACTCAATTTAAAGCACGTGAGTGCTTATCCAGAAAGCCCAAAGGGATTTAGCATAAAATATTTTAACCATCTCCTCCAAAATCAACTTTGCTGTCTCCAAAATCCAGTGGTTAAAGCTTTCTTCTTATCTTCCAACTAAAGTACAAAGACGGAAAGGTACAAGGTAAAAGAAAAGGGCTTTCTCATTGGCTACCCTTTGGGACAACAACGATGAGTTGTAGAATATTTTGGAATGCTAGCTTTTTATTGTTCTTTATAGCAATCCATCTTGTCTAGACATGCAGTTAATTCACCAGTTAAAAATAACATGTTCTTCAATTATCTGCACATTCTTCTTTCATAAATTTTAATTTTATTATTGCTTTTTATTGTTAGTAATTTTGAAGTGCATGCATGCAGCGGGAACATAAACTTTTGAAATCTCATCGTGATCATTTGCAGTACAAATAATCACAAAGGCAAAGCATATTTACAGATATTTAAAATAAGCAGTTATCTCAATTAAACCAGAAGATCTAGTATTTTGGGGGGAAATGAGAAGCAATGTACAGATTTTCAAGATGCCAAATCATGAGCTAATTAGATACCCAGAAAACAACTGAAAGATAGTTTAGATAAATATACGCCACCAACAATTTTATCCCATTTTTAACCAGTCAAATCATTCTAAAAAATGAACCTGGGGAAATTTGTTTTAGCCCAAGGTGAAAAACTTACCTGATACTATCACTCTGTACTCAGAACGCCTTGATGGGGGTCCATATCTGCCCCTTGGGGCCCCACCACCTCCACCGCCTCCTCCTCCTCTGCCAGTGCCACGACCACTTCTAGGGAACTCCACCCGTAGACGGTACCCATCATAATCATATCCATCCCGTCCGTACACTGCATCTTCTGCATCCCTGCAAGAGAAAAAAGAAAACCACAGTGAGCTTAGATCCAAGAAAGACAGCTGCATCACAGGCCCTCCAGGAACACACTGCATGCAGGAAGATGGCCTTTGTCTTCACTCTACAAAAAGAGAAGACTTTGTCCCAACAGCATTGCAAGCACACACATTCCCCCCCCCCCGCCCCCCTGTAACTAACCAATTAAAGTTCTTCCACTCTTGATATTGCAACACAACTGTACAAAATAACGCATTATTTTTTAAAGCAATGCTGTTTGTTTAAACTGGGAAGCAGTAACATACAAAACAACCTGATAGGTAGTTAGATGTTTTAGATTCCAATGGGAAAAATCTCAATGCATATGGGAGAAAAGATGAATTACAATATTACCTGTCCAGTAAGTGTGAATATAGATTACTACTATATTCTCCATTTTCTCTTACAAGTTTTCATTTTTCCATTCTAAATGTTCATTGATTTTGTTTTTAATTTGTAAAAAATAGCTTATGTATTTATTCAAATGTTAATTTAAAATCTGGCTTTAATAGCAATGAATGTACAAATCTATGAGTAAATTCACTGTTAAATAATGGATTGGAACTCATAAAGATGTAGTTAGCACTTAAGTCATAGAAGCTGTGTCTCCTTAGAATAAGCAGCAAGAATGTATCACTTTAAAAACATTCTCAGTCACCCAGGTCCTGGTTGTTGTCCCAAAGGTGCTTTTCTCAAAAGGCAACTGGAGTTTTGTTTTTCTTTTTGAGAATGTTTGTTTTTATTTTTGAGAAGGGAGAAGCTTCTTGGATGAGAAACAAAACATCAAGGAAAAACAAAATCCAATTGCCTTTTGAAAAAAAAAAAAAAACACCTTTGGGATATAAGTTAAGGCACAAATGCCATGAAAGGAAAACAATCTACACAACCAAATGGATTTTAACCCTCTACGTTTACAGCTTCATGACCTCACAAAAGATCTTCTATAAATATTTTTTCCCATTTAGACTGGAACCAACTTCCCACCCTCCCCTGACCACACCAACTATTAGTCTGACCTTCCTGGGGACAACAACCAGGAATGATTGGGGTGCAAAGGGACCTAGAAAACAGCAGCAGCTACTACCTGCATGGGAATGAAACAGGATAACAGAATTGGAAGGGACTTTGGAGGTCTTCTAGTCCAACCCATTGCTCAGGCAGGAAACCCTATACCACCATTTCAGACAAGTGGTTGTGCAATCTCTTCTTAAAATCTTCCAGTGTTGGAGAATTCACAACTTCTGGAGGCAACTAGTTCCACTGGTTGATTGTTCTCACTGTCAGGAAATTTCTCCTTAGTTCTAAGTTGCTTCTCTCCTTGATTGGTTTACAGGCACTGCTTCACGTCCTGCCTTCAGGTACTTTAGCTTGACTCCCTTTTCTTTGTGGCAGCCCTTCAAATATTGGAAGACTGCTATCATGTCACCCCTAGTCCTTCTTTTCACTTCGCTAGCCCAGGACTTTGGCCACTTCTTCCCTACCCGTCACTACGAACGTGCAGGATTCATTACAGGGCAGGAACCGTTGAAAAGACACCCGATTTCCCCAGGACGACGTACGGTAGAGCCTCTTATTTCAGAACGTTATTTTATTCCACAAAAATATCGCAACACGGCTCCCATACACCAAAACGGAGCGGCTTTACCGCGCTCGGTTTACCTCGTCCCGCCCTTCCCCCAATCGCCTCGATCGTCCGACACGTGTTAAGGCGAGGATGGGATGTGGAGTACCAGGCGCGGGGCTTAGGCTCCGTCCGTCAAGCCTGGCCTAAGAGTAGCTGCCCCCCCGCCCCCTTATCCCTTTCAGGGTGGCGATCTCCGCCACCCACGGGCGTTATTTCCACGCGCGCCGTCCCGTTCCGTCCACTGACCTGGGGTCCTCAAACTCGACGAAGGCGAACGGCGGCCCCCCTCGGCGGTTCTTGAGATCGATGTCCCGAATGGCTCCGTACTTGTAAAAGACGTCCTCAATGTCCTTGGTGCGGATGTCCGGCGGCAGGTTGCCCACGTAGATGCGGCAGTCGTTGTTCCCGGCCGGGCCGCGGATCACGCCGCCACCAGACATGGCGAGGTCAGCAATGGCTGCGGTTGGGGGTGGTCGGTGTGTGAGAGAAGAGGCGGAGGAGCAAGGGCGGGAAGCAGCCCGAGAAGGAGCAGGGGGGAGAAGAAAAGAGAAATGGAAAAAAAAAAAACCGGCAACGATCCGATCCAACCGAAGAAAAAAGGGAGCGAAAGGGAAAAAAGCGGGCGAGGCCAACGGGCAACGACAGGAGCAGCAACGCCTCCCTCCCGCTTCGACTCTCTCAGCTGCCACAAAATGGCCGTCCACTCATGCGCTCTACTTGCCCTGCGCAAGGATCCTTCCGCGCCGTTGACGTCACACTCCTGAGGTGGGGAAACTGAAGGGAGTGCGGCCTTCCCGCCCTTCGTCTGGCGCATGCGCGGCTCTCCAGATTTATTTATTTTTTAGTTGTTATTGTTTCCCTACCCCCCGCGAAAGGTTTCTTTCCAAAGTTATTATCGAACAGCTTATAGGGCGCCGTTCGATATTTGCCGACCTTAGATGCGGCGTTCTTAAGTCACCCTCTTGGGCTTTTAGTTGAAAGAAAACACTTAATTTCAAACAGGCCTCGTGGCCGAGGACTTCCGCTAGCCTCCGGGGGCAGCGAACCGTTAGAAGCGCGCGAGAAGAAGATCCGGCTTTTATAAGGAGTTGCACAAAGAAGGAGGGAGCGTAATCCCACAATGCATCACGCGGAGGGCCGCCTTGGCGCCAAAGAGAAGAATGTTCCCACAGTGCATTGCGAAGAATGAGGGCTGCCAATAGATTTGAGGTCAGGCGGTGACCTGGAAACAAAAATTAAAATGCCGGCACGCTGATATAAAACCCACTTCGGGAGGCCTCCTTTCCATGTAAAAAGAAAAGACGTATTGAGGAAACAAAACGGCATTTTTAAAAATGAGGCTCAGCGGACGCATCACCGTTTTTTTCCTTAATTTCCTTCAATGTTGCAATTCGTTAATGCGCATGCAAGCTAAAACACGTATTTATATTCACATGTGTCTGTTGCAAAAGGAGAGGCTGCAATTCCCGGATGTAGGAATGCCCCAATTGCTTGACTGTTCTTAAGTTGGCATTTGGTGCATATACTTCAGTGGGGGATGTCTGGATTTGCCACTTCATTAATTTATTCCATTGCATATTAAAACTTGCTTTCCTTATATTGGCAGCTACCTGGACTTGGAGCAGTGCTGAAATCGATAAACTGAAGCCAACATGACATGCACACTTCAAACCCGACAATACGCTAAGGCAGAAGAATGCTGTCTCTCAATGCTGTCTGTAAGGAGTATAAATCCTTCCATTCCCCACCATCCAGTCAGAGCTGAAGAAGCTTCTTGGATAAGAAGTAAAACATCTTCAAAGAAAAACCAGAAAGTTGCCTCTTGAAAAAGGCACCTTTGGGACAACCATGAACTGAGAATCTCTATAGACTAAGGCAGAAGCTTGTCCAGCCCAAGGATAAAACACCCAGGCACAAACTGAGACACGTATATGCAGTACAATGTGCAGATCGAGACAGGTAATCCTCAACTTACAACAGTTCATTTAGTGACTGTTCGAAGTTGCAATGTCACTGGAAAAAATGAGTTTGACTAACTTTTTCACTTTGAATGTACACTAATCATTGTACATTAAAATTAAATTTCATTGCCTACAGCTCTCAAAAGGTCACCACCTCCAATCTACATGACCTAAAAATACCGTTATGACCATTTTTCACACTTATGACCGTTGCAGCATCCTCATGGTCATGTGATTTACATTTCTACACTTGACAGCTGGCTCACATTTATGATGGTTGTAGTATCCCAGTGTCATGTGATCACCTTTTGCAACCTGAAAAACAAAGCCAATGGGGAAATCAGATTCACTTAACAACTGTGTTACTAATTCAACAACTGCAGTGATTCACTTAACAAGTGTGCCAAGAAAAATTGTAAAATGGGGCAAAATTCACTTAACAAATTTCTCACTTGGCAACATAAATTTTGGGCTCAATTGCGATCATAAGTTGTGGGCTACCTGTACATTGGGGAAATAGAACAGCCACTTCATAAATGGCACAACATAGAACAAACCCATCAGGATTCAGCAGTCCATCTGCATTTAAAAGACACAGGCCACTCTTGAAGACAGCGAAGTCTACATTTTGGACAGAGGGGACTGTTGGTTTGAAGCGGGGGTGTCAAAGAAGCCATATCAAAACTGAACAGGCCTCTATGGGGGGGGAGGGATATGACATCATTCATCTTCAATTTACAACACAGTCCTTTCAGCAGTTCCAAGAAGGATCTGCAGGCCTTTAAATGTGCCACTCAGGTGACCCTGAGGATACAGATAAACCTCCAGGTGACCTTAATGACTCTAAAAGAATGCAAATGACCAGCTGTCTGCAAGGAATGTAAATCCTTCTATTCCCCACCATCAAGTTAGAGCTGAAGAAGCTTCTTGGATGAGAAGAGGAACGTCTTCAAGGAAAAACAAGAAAGTCCAGTTGTCTCCTGAAAATGCACTTTTGGGACAACCATGACCTGGATGACTGAGAATCACCACAGACAATAAACTGAAGATTTTTCATCTCTGGATCGGATCCTTGACTTACAACAGTGTTTATTGACTGTTCTAAGTTAGAACAGCACTGAAAAGTGATCTATGACTGTTTCTCACACTTATGACAGTTGCAGAATCCCCATGGTCACATGATCAAAATTCAGAGGCTTGTCAACTGACTCATATTTATGACGGTTGCAGTGTTCCAGGATCATGTGATCCCCTTTTGCAAACTTCTGACAAACAAAGTCAATGGGGAAGCCAGATTCATTTAGCAATCATTTTAGTAACTTAACAACTACAATGTTTCACGTAATAACTGTTGTGAGAAAGATCATTAAATGGGGCAAAATACTCAATAAATGTCTCACTCAGCAATAGAAATTTTGGGTCATAAGTTGAGGACTACTTGTACAGAGTTCTACTTGTTTAGACATCATTCCCAGATGGTTGGTGTTTGGCTGTGTTAGGTGAAGTTAATGAGCCTCCACTTATTTATTGGTTTTATTAGATTGATGATTATGTGCCATTAATTTGTTTTCGACTCTTAGCAACCACTTGGATAGATTTTTCTCCATGACAATTTGTACTTATCCTGGTTTTTCAGGTCTCCCAAGGATACCCGTGTAACTGAATCCATCACACCGAGTTTATAAGCAGCTATACTTTCATTTCATCATACTACCATTAGGCCAAAATTTCTGTTACTATGCGCAAGACAGTTGCTAAATGAGTTTTGTCCCATTTTATAACCCTTTTTTTGCTACAATTGTATTTGTTAAATCATTGCATTTGATTTAACTGCATTGAATCATTGCATTTGATTTAACTGCATTGAATCATTGCATTGGTTAACTTAGTAACACAATCGTAAAATTAATCTGGCTTCCCCATTGAGTTTATTTGTCACAAAAGATGATCACAGGTTCCCAGGACACTGCAACTGTCATAAGTATGAGCCAGTAGGACAGACTCTAAATCATTTTTGAATAAGCCAAATGGGGCTCCCTTCTTATCTCCCTCCATTGTGAAAATCTTCCTACTTTCAGTTTTTTGCCATTCCCCAAACCATTGGAGAACTATCCTGCAATCTGCAATATTTCTGAGAACTGGAGAAGCTAAATGTTTCGAAAGGAAACAAGAATATTCTATAAATTCTAGACCTAGAAAACCTAGAACTACGCGGCCTTCGGTCCAATCTAAGTATAGTATATAAAATCATACATTGCAATGTCCTACCTGTCAATGAATACTTCAGCTTCAACCATAACAATACAAGAGCAAACAATAGATACAAACTCAAGGTTAATCGCACCAAACTTGATTGCAGGAAATATGACTTCAGCAACAAGTGGTGGATGTCTGGAATACTCTATCTGACTCTGTGGCTTCTTCCCCAAACCCCAAAAACTTTAACCTTAGACTTTCTACTATTGACCTCACCCCTTTCCTAAGAGGTCTGTAGGCGGCGTGCATAAGCGCACCAATGTGCCTACCGTCCCTGTCCTATTGTTTCTTTTATTTTTTTTATTTTTCTTATATGTATCCATGTAATCATGTTTTTACTTACACCTATTATCTTGTAAGCAATTGACAAAAATAATTAAATAAAATATCCAGATGCCTTTGGCAGGGGGAAGAACCTTTGGGATCTTACTCAAGAATGTTTTATTTGAAACTATCAAAAGCTTTTTTTTTTTTTTGAAGTTCAGGTATCAGCAGGCTCATCTTCATACAGTCTTGCATTCATGGGGCTTGGAGTGACTGAAAACTAACTGCTATTATGCGGTATTCCCAAGTGAATTTTTAACAACAGCATCATAAATGGGAAGAAAATTGCCAGGGCACAAGATCCATATTGAATCAGAAGAGGATTCAGAGAAATTGGAACATGTTCAAAAAAAGGGCAGGGATGATCAGTGAACTAGAAATTTAAGTCATTTGAAGAGACTGGAAAGAGCTAAATAGTTCAATCTTGAGAAAGAAAGCGAAAGGAAGCGGGAGACAAGATATATGGTGCCTGAAATATATCACACAGAAGAAGGTCAAAACTGTTCATCCCTTTGTTCAGGATGCACGGCATGGAAAATGGACTTGTAAATTACGGGAAAAGACATTTTGATTTAATATTAGGGGTGATGGATAATACTGGATGTGTTCCAATAGAGGCTAGAGAGCCATCTGGAGGAGTGTTTTTCATTTGGACTCCTGCAAATCAAATGCATTCAGAAACTTCTCAAGGATGAACAGGACAGCAATTCTCCTTTCTGCTCCCCAGAGAGTAGTTTTGAACAGGATTATGCAGAGATCCAAATTCAAAGGCAAAATGTGAGATTTGGGGCAGATGTGAGCAGACACATAACCCTCATGGCGGACTTTTTAAAGCTCTTAAAAGCTTGTTGGGAAAATAGGAAGAGGAGGGAAAAGGTACATATGTTTGCAGACATGAATTATTTGTAAAAAATAGTAAAGGCTATACACACACACACACACACACACACACACACACACACACACACAGCCTTTAAGTTTTCGCGGGTACTTACATGTAGGGCATTCGGCTTTGTACAGAAGCCTGATGATGGCAGATGAGATTCTGCTGAAACGTCGCTACAACTTTAAAAGCATAACTACTATGACGTGGGAAAATACCTGAACAAAGCCAAATGCCATATATATATATATGTATGTATGTATGTATGTATCAATCTATATATAATCTATTATTGATTTC